AACTTTCTATTTCCAAAGTCCTGGAGAAAATTGTGTACAATCAATTACTTGGTTTTCTTGAAGAGCATAGTATTCTCGAGGTTTTCCAATCTGATTTTAAACTCTCCACAGCACAAAATCAGCTCTTTTAAAAGTTTTTAATGATATTGTTTTAGCTACTGACTCCAGTGACTGTGTCATCCTTGTACTTTTASACCTAACAGCTGCTTTTGACGCTGTGGACCATGRCATTCTGTTGTCTCGGCTGGACCAGTGGGCGGGAATCAGGGGTGTTGCCTTGCGTTGGTTCAGGTCCTACCTGTCCAACCGAAMTTTCTGTGTTTGTCTTGAGGGGTCAGTGTCCTCTTCTTCTCCTCTTTCACGTGGAGTCCCTCARGGCTCARTTTTAGGCCCACTTTTGTTTTCTCTGTWTCTCCTCCCACTCGGTTCTATTGTCAGGAAGCATGATATTTCATTTCATTGTTACGCAGACGACAGCCAGATCTATGTCCCTCTCAAAAAGTCTAATTCGTATGCAATAGACTCACTTCTTATGTGTCTTGAGGATCTGAAGGCCTGGATGGCACAAATGTTTTTGAGTTTTAATGAAACCAAGACTGAGGTTRYAGTTTTTGGAGGTACTKTTGGCCACTTCCCTGTAGATCTACTTGACTCAGTACAACAAATTGTTAGTGAGGAATTTGGGAGTTGAAATGGACCCTGAATTTAAATTAGATAACCACATTAGGTCAGTTGTTAGAAGGAGTTTTTATCATTTGAGGCAGCTAGCCAAAATAAARCCCATCATTCCAAGAAGACATTTTGAGACAGTGATCCATGCCTTTGTCACCACCTGGCTGGATTACTGTAATGCACTTTATCTGGGGGTTAGTCGGTCCTCCATCGCCCAACTGCAGAGGGTCCAAAATGTTGCAGCGAGGCTTTTAACTGGCACACGTAAATATGACCACATTTCTCCCATTTTAGCTTCACTCCACTGGTTGCCTGTGCCTTTTAGGATCCATTTTAAAATACTTTTATTTGTTTTTAAATCTTTGAATGGCCCTGCCCCACCATACTTGTCTAATCTGCTGCACCCCTATAATCCCTCCCGCTCCCTCAGATCTGAACAACTGCTCCTGAGGGTCCCTAAAACCAGACTTAAACTCAGGGGGAATCTATCTTTTGCTGCAGCAGCTCCTAAACTCTGGAAAGAGCCACCTCTCCAACTTAGACAGTCTTCTTCACTGGCTGTTTTTAAAACTCGTCTTAAAACCCACTTGTTTTCTTTGGCTTTTGACGCTGTGTGAGGGGTTGAAATACTAGATTTTATTTTTTGTTTTTATTATAAATTTTGAATTAGGTTTTAGGCATTTTATTGTTCTTATTCCTTGTTTTTACTTTGTGTTTTATTACTGTTTTTATTTTTCTGTGATTTTTTCCTATTATAATTGTGATTGAGTTTGTTTTTGAATGAGCTGTGCTGCGGTGCTGATTCTGTACAGCACCTTGGTCTACTATGGTGCACAAAGTGCTTTACAAATAAAGTTGGTTTGGATTGGATTGGATTATATAACCTTAAATAAGTTTAATAAAGTACACTTTGCTAAGAGCCGAGCTTCACTGACCTCCATATCTGCAGCTGCTCAGGTCTGCATAAGCATAGGTCTGTGAGTTTTGAAGAGTGACTTGATTCACTTGGACTCCATTTACCAGAACCTTCACCACCTATAAAACAACAGATTTTATTTCACCACATATATTCTGATAAACACAGAAAATTTTAACATTTTAGAGACCGTATCTGCATTGGATTGTAGATTTAGTGGATTTTAATTTAAAGCCATATRTTTGTACATAATAAAAACATACTTACACCTGTGTTTGGTGTTGAAGAGGAAAACACCAGAGCTGCTTGTGACCCAAGGTTTGCTAAAAAAAATCCTCCCTGTAAAAAGATAAAAAAATAAATCATGTCTTTAAAAAGATTTGACAAGTTTTTCATTGTAATCTGTTTATGTTCATATTGTTAATTAGAAATATTAAAAATCAAAAGGTTGTCTAACTTCTGCAGGTTTCTGTGTTTTTACAAACTGAAACAAATTTTTGAAAGTAAGACAGTAAAAACACTCACACTGCTGGTACTTAAGTACACGAGGCATTGCAATTTGTTGCTGATGGTCAACAAATTCTGGTRGATCAATGTTTGCATGTTTGCAAGACTTGGATGAGAAAGAAAAGCTATCTGACCTGCTGCAGGTCCCACCAGACAGTCTCCAGCCGCCTGAGGGTTGTCAAATCCATCAAAACAAACAAAAACGTTCTGACTGGTGAAGCTCACCTGAAAAAAATCAGAAACACAACAAATAAAAAGACTTTTCTGTAAAAAAAAAACATTAATCAGAACAAAAAGTTAGTTTAAACTTGTGTTTGTGTGATTTTTTATTTTTTACAGAAAAAGAAGAACCAGAGCAGATGACAGAGACACCAGGCTTCATGGACTCACATTGACTTGGGTATACGTCTTTCCAAAATACGTGATGGGACAGGAGCTGATGTCCAGGTGTGTGGACGTCTGTCCTGCAGCACCTGAGGACACAGAGACACGTGACAGGAGTGAACTCCAGCAGTTTATTGTGATGGAGGATTCTCCTCTGGGTTCTTACATGGCAGGGTGAGGAGAGCAGACAGGTAGAGCAGGGGGCGGAGCATGGTGGAGGCGACCAATCAGCTGCAAGACAGAAACACAGACACCTGCAGTTTCAACCTGAGGGTCAACCTTCGGTCACATTTTTACCTCCACGTTGCATTTTTATGAATAATTCAAAGAAATGATGCAACTAAAGTTACAGCATGTATAATTTAAAAAACAACCTGAGTGAAAACAAAAACTAATTAAACTAATTAAACAAGAAACAGTGATGAACGACCTGTGTGCCTCAGCCTCAGGTGATCTATGAAGAGAGGAGTGTGATCAACCTCACAGGTGAGCAGAGCTCTTACCTGCTCYGATCAGGACTCTGCAGTCGGAGGACAGATTTGTCTGCTGGTGTCTTTGTGAAGTGGACACCTTCTCCTCTCTTTATGTTCAGAGGGAGGAGTCAGGGTGAAGACTTCTAATACCTGGGACAGGTGTCACACCTGGGACAGATGTGACACCTGGGACAGATGTGACACCTGGGGCAGGTGCAGGCCTCAGGCTCAGAATGCACTTTTTTAAACAATTATTTCACAATTATTGAGTCAAAGGTCTCCTGAAGACGTCTGCAGAGGAATGTGTTGACAGCAGAGACACAGTGAGGAGGGGTTTGTCCTGGTGTGTGTGTGTGTGTGTGTGTGTGTGTGTGTGTGTGTGTGTGTGTGTGTGTGCCCCCATGTTTTTAGCTACTTTGTGGGGACAGTTTTTCAGGAAAATGCAGCCTCGACTTTGGAGGCTGATTGTAGGTGTGGGGTTAGGTTTAGGACCAAGGTTTAGGTTAGTTTTAGGGTCAGGTAAGTTTCTGTGAGGTTGATTTTAGAGTATATGGTCAGGGTTAGGATATAAAGTCTAAAAAACATGAATGGAAGTCAATGGAAGGTCCCCACAAGGATAGAGAAACATGGTTGTGTGTGTGGGGCAGGGGGTTGAACCCTCACCTCGTCTCCTCCACCCTGAGCAGAACATCAGAACAGTGGTGACAGTGGGAAGAAAATACTCCATAAATACTTAGACGTCAGCTTTGATTTGACTCGATGATGTCACATTACTGCCAGGACTGTGAACATCATCATCATCATCATCATCATCATCATCATCATCATCATCATCATCATCATATCATCATCATATCATCATCATCTTTATTTATAAAGCACATTTTAAAAACAAGTTGTCACCAAAGTGCTGAACACAAGGCAAAGATCAATATAAAAGCAAACAACAGTCTTAGAAGCATAAMAGATAAAACACCAACCATAAACTTATAACTCACAATTTATCCAGAATCTGAGAGAACAGGTTTGTTTTTAATACAGATTTAAAAACAGGAAGTGACGAGGCCTGTCCAACGTTGGGGGGTAGATTGTTCCAGAGCTTGGGAGCCATGATTGAAAAAGCTTGATCTYCYCTCAGTTTCAGTCTGGTTTTAGGAACGACTAAAAGCAGCTGATCAGAAGATCTTAGTGCCTGAGAAGGACTGTAAGGTTGAAGTAGATCAGAGAGATCAGAGGGTGCAAGGCCATGTTGGCATTTGTACGTGAGCAGGAGAAATATAAAATCTATTCTATAGTGCACTGGGAGCCAGTGAAACATGCTCAAACCTACGAGTTCCTGTTATAAGTGGAGCTGCAGTATTCTGAACAAACTGAAGATGTGAAAGACCAGACTGATCCCAACATAAAGTGCATTGCAATAATCTAATCGATCAGTAATAAAAGCATGTATTATTCTCTCAAGGTCAGGTCTAAATATCGGCTTGAGCTTGGCTCTGTCTTAGCTGAAAAAAACTTTTCTGCAAAACAGAGTTGATCTGCTTGTTAAACTTCAAATCAGAATCTAAAACCATTCCCAGATTTACAACAGACCGCTTCAAACACAACAAACACAACTGAAGAGAGCCTAAATTAAATGGAATGGTGTCAGCAGTAACACAAGGGCTGAACACAATAACTTCAGTTTTCCTGTCACTAAAACTTAAAACATCTGCAGCCATCCAATCCTTAAAGTCATCAAAACATTTTAATAACAACTGTGAAGAGTCAGCTCTGTTATCAGGTGTCAAGGGCAGGTAGATCTGACAATCATCAGCACAGCAATGAAAAGACAGACCATGTTTCCTTTGAACAGACCCTAAAGGAAGCAGGTACAAAGAAAACAAAAGTGGTCCAAGAATCGATCCCTGTGGAACCCCACAGGAAAGAGGTTCTGAAACAGAAAAGAAGTTTTGAACATTAACACTAAAATGTCTGTGACTTAGGTAGGAATGAAACGAATCTAGTGCTGCTCCTGTGATCCCAACCCAGTGTTCTAAACATGACAACAGGATGCTGTGGTCAGCWGTATCAAACGCTGAGTCAGGTCCAGAAGTACCAGGACCACAAACTGACCATTGATAAATCATGAAGTTGTTGAAGGGATCCATGATTAGTTGTAACATTAGACTTTTTTTGATAAACGTGTATTTTAACTGTGAAATAAAGACTGTAAAAATACTGTAGGGTGTTTAGTTTTTTAATTTTTAAAAATATATTTTAACATGGACGGAGCCATTTTATTTGCACACAAAGCATTCTGGGTAAATGATGACGTGGATAGGTCCTCGGTGCGAGGC